AGAATGAGCTTGGGATGGGATTTAACCAAAGTCAATAGTTTCCAGCTGAAATGATGACTCTGGTCTCATTTTGGGTGACTTGTCTGGTTACCTTTGTGATATAAATTAAAATCGAGTCAAAATATATAAGAAGGACTTCCCTTTTGTAAATATATAAAGTTGTGAAGATACAATTGGTCTGACTTGGAATCAAGTCATTCACAAGGGTTACAGTGTCTTGAAAATCTAGCAAAGATAAGAGTTGTTGTTTTTTTCTTTTGAAAAATAAATTTCAATCGAAACAAAATCCTGCTGATGAAACATATCAAAGAATTCCCTTTGGTATCGTCATTACACATTTATTAGTGTCACCACTAAAAATATAAATATACATAGAACATCTCACACAAACATAAGTTTGAAATTATGGTACTATAGGTACTATCTAGATAGTACCTATAGATAGTATTATAGTTTCTATGTTATATATATATATTTTAATAATTTCTTATGTATTAGTTTTAACTCTTAATCAGCAGGACCCCGTTGATAACAGTACTTTTGTATTGAAGGGTTATCCTTGATAAATAATTCGATTATTACGGTTATTATTATTATTATTATTATTATTATTATTGTTGTTGTTGTTGTTGTTGTTTCAAGACATGTCTAACTATGTACGGTATACATACTACTTACAATTACAGGCGAAATAATTTCTCCCAAAGAGAACAAATACGGTAATCTAATCCAACTTACAGTATAGGCAATTTTTTCCTTGTCATCATATTGTTTCCACGCCAGGGTAATCTGGGTTGCTCCAGACTCTTTTACTTTAAATTCCCCTGGTGCTTCAGGTCCTACAATGTTATGTTAGAAAATATAAAAGTTCAAGAAAAGTCTTAAGTATATTGTAAAAGTTATCGAGTCAGAGTACCTCAAGGAAATAATCTAATCGTATAATGAATGTTACAAGTTCGGCTTTTTTAAAAAATTGTAAATAATCGTAGAATAAAACGAAATTATTCTTACAGTAATTTTTTCACCTATCATGTTCCATACCAGGATAACTTTCATAATAATCTTAGAAACTAACTTGATGTTTCCAGTTCCAAAGGTTCACCATATGGTCCAGGCCCTTCTGCGGTGTAAGCTCGAACAGAGACATTATATCTAGAACAAAGC